CAGTGGACCATTTCTGCCTAACTTTCATTTCAATTCTTCACTAGAAGAATTGCAATTGGCTTTCCATAATGAGTCCAAAACCACCATTTCAATCCACAAGCATTCCACAATCAACTCAAGACAGTTTATCAAAATCACGGTAAAGCGCAAAGAGTATAAGGGAAGCATCACAATCAACCTCAAACAGTTTATCAAAATCAGGTAAAGCAAGAATAGGGGCGGAAGTAAGCTTATCTTTGATCTCTTCAAAGCTTTTGTTTGCAGGTTCGGTCTATTCAAACTGACGAACTCTCTATTTCTTCAAACAATCGCTGATAGGAGCGACGATGCTGCTAAAGTTCCTAATGAACTGCCTATAGAAAGTAGCAAGACCATGAAAGCTGTGAACTTCAGTGATGTTCTTGGGAATAGGCTAGTTTCGGATGGCCTCAATTTTTCTGTCATCAACATGAATTCCTTCCGAGCTAACAATATATCCAGGACCAAAATCTGCTGTGTCATCAAAATGCTATTCTTAAGGTTGATGTACAACTCATTTTTCTACAAAGCATCCAACACCTGACGAAGGTGCTGAAGGTGTTCTTCCACGCTGCGACAGAAAATTAAGATGTCATCAAAATAAACAACCATAAATTTGTGCAAGAAAGGATGCCAAACCTGAGTCATAAGTCACATGAATGTGCTCGGTGTAGTAGTCAACCCAAATGGCATAATCAACCACTCATATAATCCTTCCGTGGTCTTGAAGGTAGTCTTCCATTCTTCTCCCTCTTTGATTCGAATTTGAGGATACCCGCTGCAAAAATCTATTTTAGAAAACACTATAGATCCTGACAGTTGGTCCAAATGTCCTCCAGACGAGGAATAGGGAATCGATATTGCACCGTGATCTTGTTGATAGCTCGACTATCCAAACACATTCTCCAGGTCCCTTCCTTCTTTGGTAACAATAAGGTAGGAACCCCACAAGGGCTAATGCTCTCCCGGATACGTCCCTTCTTCAATAATTCTTCTACCTGTTCTTGAAGGATCTGACTCTCCTTTGGATTCATTTTGTAATGGGGTAGGTTTGGTATTTTCAATCCAGGGATAAAATCAATCTGATGTTGAATGTCTCGAAAAGGTGGAAGTGTAGATGATTCTTCAACTATGACATGAAACTCATCTAGCAACTCCTTGAATGGTGGGGGTACTAGTGCCCCTCCATTCGGGCATGTCTCTGGTTTGATCAGCAATGCCAACGCACCTCCAGACTTCTCAATTGCACTAGATAATTCCTGCACATTGGAAGAAACAGCTATTATGGATTTTCCCTCCACTTTAGAAGCTTTGGCAGAAGATCTAGAAGGTAAGACAATGATTTTACTTTAGAAGCTTTGGCAGAAGATCTAGAAGGTAAGACAATGATTTTCTTATTTTTCCAAGTGAACAGGTATGAATTCTCCCTTCCCTTGTGCAATGTATCTATATCAAATTGCTAAGGACGTCATAATAGTATTCCACAAGCATCCATATCCACAACATCACAACTAACGGAGTCTGTGTACGACTTTCCCATTGAGATATGAACTTTGCAAACTCGATTTACTTCAATCGTTGGACCCTCCTTAATCCACCATACCTTGTACGGTGAAGGGTGTGATTCTGTGGGTAAATTTAGCTTTTCAACCAGCTGCTTGGCTATCAAATTTTCACAATTGCAACTATTGATAATGAGTCGGCAAATCGCTTCACCAACCCGACATTTAGCTTGGAAAATTTTTCTTCATTGGATGTTGCTTTCCTGTTTTGGAGAACACAAAATTTTCTGAATGACATTAGTAACTTCTCCATCTTCAGAACCGGCCATGGATCTATCATCTTCGTCTTTTACTTTTTCAACCTCAGTCACCTCATCAAGTACATTCACCTGTCGATGCCCTTCATTATTCCCCCTACGTTCTGGACATATATTAGATGTATGCCCCTGTTTTCTACAACAATAACAATAGTCTCTGGTTGGCTTCTGATACAGATTTGGTTTGTTGCTTCTGTCTGTCATGGGTGCCTTTCCCCGGAAGTCTTTCTTTTTTTCTATTGCAAGCTACTGAGAACTCTGGTTATTGGCAGGAGTGGCTGCTTTTAAGTTCTGCCCATCGAAATTTCTATAAAACTGCTGATTTTCGGGTGAATAGGGTTCTCCGAAATTCTGGTTACGATTAACTGATTGTCACGATTGCCAATGAATTCTATCTTCCGCACGTTTGGCCATCTGAATTGCATCTGCCAAGGTGAAAATCGCAGCTACACCCATCATACACATTATATCATGATTCAATCCCCTCTGATAATGAGCCACTTGCTGGGATTCAGTTTCACAATTATCGCATCATGCCTGCAATCTTAAGAATTCTTTTGTGTACTCATCAACCTTTCAGTTTCCTTGGAAACAGTCATGGTACCTGTTGTACAGTATTTGAGAGTGGTCACTGGGAAGAAAATGTTGCTCAATCAACTATTTCATTAAAACCCAATCTCGCACAAGTTTAATCCTTCGATGATGGCATTCATTTTGAATAGAATGCCACCATGCTATTGCATCGCCTTTCAGTTTATAGGCCACAATGGAAACTTTATGTTCATACTTGACATTCATGATCTCGAAGAATCGCTCAACCTCCGCTAGCTGGTCAAGAGTGCTTTCTATGTCTGGCGATCCTAAGAAGGGTTGAAGGTCTACCTTTACCTTGTAGCCTTCATGAAAATTGTCACCATTGCCTCTGTAATCTCGGCCTCCATCATAACGATTTTAGCGTCTTGCATAATTTGGTTACGGTGGATTCGAAGCGGCTGTTGCAGCTGCAGGTTGTGGGTTGCCTTGTTGAATAACGAGAGTCAATTGTCTAATCTATTTGGATAGTTCTTCGAGCCTCGCCTCTATGGCGGTGAGTCGTGTCTCATCGAGCTCTCGCCTCTATGGCCGGTCGTAGTCGTGTCTTCCAATGGATTGTTCGGCCATGGGAGATACTTTTGGCTTTCGGCTCTGAATACAACTGACGCAAAACGGTCGTGAATCGGGCCAATAACGATTATACTCCGTCAGGAATTTTTGATCAAAACATTTGAATCTATTGAAGAATTAGAGAATTAAAACTCTAAGGAGTTTATTGGATTGATGAATATGATCAAAAGACAAATTAGATCCATCCACAAGATACAAAAATAACCTATTTATAGGTTTTAGGCTAGTTCATATAAAAACCTAAAATAACACAAGAGTCATAATTGGAAAAACCCTACAAAGGTCGGTGGCTGGGGCGTGCTTTAGGCATGACCACGGGCAATGCTTGGACTTCCAAGGGCTAGGCATGGGGCGAATGGGAATAACGATTATACTCCGTCAGGAATTTTGATCAAAGACATTTGATCTTATGAAAGAATTAGAGAATTAAACTCTCAAGGAAGTTTATTGGATATGAATAATGATCAAAGAAATAATCCATCCACCAAAGATACAAAAATAACCTATTTATAGGTTTAGGCTAGTCATATAAAAACCTAAAAATAACACAAAAGTCATAATTGGAAAAACCCTAGCAAGGTCGGTGGCATGGGCGTGCTTAGCATGACACGGGCATGCTTGGACTTCCAAGGGCTAGCATGGGCGTGCTTGGTATGACACCGGCGCGCCGGCAATCGGAACGTAACTAGTCTCATCGGCATCAGCACGGGCGTGCTTGACATGGTACGGGCGTACTTAGACTTTCAGAGGCTAGCATGGGCAGGCTGGCTGTGACACGGGCGTGCTCGTGCTTCTTAGGCTGGGGCGTGTCTCGCGTCCTGGACTTGTAGAGGCTGGCATGGGCGTGCTGGATATGGCACGACCGTGCCCCTTCTTCTTTGGTTTGTAGCGGTCCGAATTATCTAGTTATTGAAGTGCAAGTTGCTTCGCATCATATTAACAACTTATATTTTATAGTTAACTTAGTTTGAATAGCTATTACATAGGTTGATTTTGTTACAGCATCTTGTATAAATATCACTCTATAAGCTTGTATAATGATATATACAGAAAAACACTACTCAAAGATTTTATAGTACTTACTACATTTTAGGGTTGAGTTAAGACATGAAAATGGTGCATGTCCGTATCATCTGTGGTTGATGGCTTGAAATAGAAAATCCTCAATAAGTGGTATAAAATTGTTTTAAAATTTAATTTAAGTCGATGCAAGTGAAAAACTGAACATTCTTGCAATGGTACTAAAAAATTAATGATTACATGGGCTAATAAAATCAACAAAATTTGAAAGAAACATATAACTGATTGATGAAGTAGGTGTATGCTATACCATTTTTTATATATGATTTTATTAATATTGTGTGCAATGCATAGATGATGGATTTTGGACTGTGATGTTGGTTGAAGTTGTATATAGTTATTAACATGTTGTGGAATGATTTTGATATGGAATATAAAAATGCAATGATAAATCATTTGATGTGTGATCGAAAAATGTTAGATGCAGCTAGAGGTACATATTGTATGACATTATGTTCAAGCTGAATTTGAATTACTTTTCGAGTGAATAGTTAGTCAGTGTTGTGGTTATTGAATTAACATATGCAAAATGGATATTGAGGGCCAAGTTAGTGGGATTGATTCAGAAGAGCTAGGAGGGGATTTGGAATGGGAAAGAATAATTAATTGTGGTGAGAGTTCGAATGAGCCGAAAGTTAGCATGTTATTTTATTCAGAATATGTTAAGATAATAAGAATTAGCCCAATAACATTTAGTGTTCAATCCAGACGATTTGTAATACGAGCCACAATGATGGGCCTTGACAAATCTATTTGGTCCTAAAAAATGTTACTTTGAACCGCACACATAAGTCCTCATAAGGGTAGAAGATCGTCAAGTTAATTTGCATGGCACACATAGCTGTATGCAAAATGAATTTTTCCATGCAAAATATAAGCTAAGTTAATGATATATATATTCATTCATAATCGCTAGAAACAGGTTGAAGAGCATCCCCCCAAACTAGACATTAAGTCCACAATGGATCTTACATTGGCACCCACTATATATTGGGACCTTCAAAAAACAAAAAAGATCACACCCTAATCTATTAATAACCCAACAAATCTGACCAACTATGGATTTGCATGAGCATATATATGGCATGAACTAAAAAACTAGTTTGAGGGCTGATCTATGAAAGTAGCTAATAAGAGTAGCAATTAGTTACATAATAATTAGTTGATGCAAAAAAAAGTAAAGCAGAATCACTGAACAGTTGAAGCCATGGGCTTCTGTCCATGTTCCTTCGGACGTGACGGAATGATATCCACTCTAGTGTGTTTGCTTCAGTAGGAGGATTGAAAATCAACATGTCTCCCTCACGGATGTTGTCGCCTCAAAGAATGGCCTGAAGCCAATAATGTAACTAAACCTTGTGGCTCAATAATGATAGAAGTTCACGTCAACAGATTTGAAATGGCAGCGAGCTTGATAGTACTGTAGGTCCCAATAGGCAAATATGCAAGAGGGGGTGAATTGGTATTTTTAAAAATTAATCCTTTTTAAGAATATTACAATCACAGCAGAAGCAACATTTTATACCAACTCAAATCAGATAATAACCATGTATAAGGCAATTAAATATTCAATCTGATTTATCTTGGACATTGAAACATATAGCTCAACCAGTTACTGAATATAGTTCACTGAAATTAGTTTGCAGAGATTCTACAGTCAGTAACTAATTTAAGCAATCGTAAAAGTCAAATAAACACAGTACAGCACAAGTAACAGAGTTGATTCATCAAGCATAAATAGATAATCAAGTGAGTGTGTGAGAATATAGCAATCAAGAGAAGAAAGAGGAGAAATCAACACAATCAATTTTATAGTGGTTTGGCACTCCTCACACCTACATCCACTCCTCAAGAAATCATGTTGAGATCCTCCACTATCAAACTCTTTTCAAAGGCAAGAGCAAAGCCAAATACAATGGAAATAATTCAACACCTAGAACTAACCATTCCCCATAAGTTTTTCAAAGAACTTATAAACTTATCCTTTCTAGTTTTTGGCAAAGAACTAGATAGAAACTTAACCCCACTACTTTTTAATAAGAACTAGGAAACTTACAAGACTTGCTCTTACTTAAAGAAAGGTATTTAATTACCTAAACAACACAAGCTTCACAGAAGCTTAGTTCTCACAAGATTTCTCATTTTTTTTCCTATACTCTATTCTAGATTAACAAGAACCTACAACAGAAAGAGAGTTATGCCCATTTAAGCTTAGGAAAGAGATTTTAAAATGTTTTTCAATTCAGTTTTGAAAATCTCTCTAAAAATATGATTCATCTTCTTCTCTTAGAAATAATGCATTTGAAGCATAAAGAAGAAGAATGAGATGAAGGCTTATGATGAGAGTTTTGAAATTAAAATAGTAAACACAAATTTTCTCTCATGCTAGATCAGGTATTCTTCCATCCTTTTATACCCAGAAAAACTTTTCTTCCTATTAGAGAGATACTTTAACGTTGGAGAGAAGGAGATGAACAAATAGAGTGGCGGCAAAACTTTAGCTAGAAAGAGAGAAGGATATGGGTTGTAGTACTTTTTATAGAAAGTAGTTCTTTTCAAATTTAAAAGCCCAAGGAATTTTAAGATTTTATTTTCCCACCAAATCTTTTTACCAAAATAACGTACTTTTAAGTTTTGAAAGATGAGATTTGAAATACATTTTCCCCTCTTAATATTTCAAGAAATATTATTTTAACAAAAAGATCTCCTTTAAGTAGATATTTTAAGAGGCTAAAAAGATGATTTTGATTTAGCTAGAGTAGGCATAATTTATCTTTCTATTTTAACAAAATGAATTAGACTAAGCTAACTAGGACAACTTAGTAATTACATTACCTTCAATTCTTCAGGTAGCCTTATTGGTCTTCATTTGGATAAGCTTTAATCTTCAATTTGATGAGATCACTTGAATTAATTTCTGCACAAGACTTTAAAAACATACTATATAGTAATTTATTTCAATTTATTATTTTTGTTAATTATTAAAATTTAAGGTTGTAAAAGCCCCTGAGCCAACAATCATCCCCTTTTTGATGATGACAAAACAAATAAATTGAATACATAGTGCACATATATAGAAAAGATTACCCCCCCCCTAAGTCTATGCATCATTTTTCTTTGCTCAAAAGATTTTATCATATGAATGAAAGAGCATAAAGAATGAAAGAAGAAAACTCCTCCTGAGTTTATGAATATATCTACAAAAATATTAACAAACTATATAGAAGAGTAAGTTAAAAGAGAACTAAGCTAAAAAATAAACAGAATTTACCAAACTCTACTCACTAGATGTTCTGAGCAAAATTAGTTTACTTATTTTTGAGCTGAGAGCTTCTTGCAGAAAATAGATTTTTACTTTAAAGAAAATATGTAGAAGACTAGATAATTATAAAGCAAAACATATAATTTGAGTTCATCACTTCAATAGCCTGCCAAAAAGATACAAAGGCTTTGTGAAATAATATGAAGCACCATATTCAGCACAAACAACAATCTAAACATAAGCTAAGCATAAAGTCATAAAGCAACTAAAGTGGGACACCAACACACAACACACATAAACACAGAACACATAAAGCAACTCATTAATCTTTCTCCCCCTTTTTGTCATCCATTAAAAAGGAAAGAAAAGAAAAACTGAATGCAAGTTCAGAAAAAAAAATAGCATAGAAAACAGTTCAGAAATTAGTAGACAAAAAATAAAAACAGAACATACAAAGCATCAGAGGAAGTCTAGGTCTCATCATCCAAGTCCATAGGCTTTTGAGCACTGCCATCCTTGCCAGGTTCAGTAGGCTCAGAGATTTTAGCTCACTGGCTGCCACATCAAACACTTTTGCTGCATTGGAAATCTGATTAGCCAAATTGTTCAAGGCTTGAATCAGCTTATTTCTCCCCTCAATTTCCATGTCTTCCTAATGGATGTCTTTCATCAACCCTTCTAGATCAGCTTCCTCCTCACTTTGCATACCCTCTTCATGACTTTTCTCACTAGGATAATCTTTCCACCTAGAGAATTCTAAGTAGGGATCTTCAAAGGCTTTTCTTTTCTCCCCAACTTTCTCACTAGATTCTTTAACTCCTACATGCTCGTCAAATTCATCATTATCGCTTTCTTTCCCATCTTCTTCATTCTCACTACTCTCTTTTTCATCATTTTCACTACTCTCTTCTTCTATGCTATCACTAATCTCTTCTCCTCTATTTTCACTACTCTCATCTTCATCATTTTCCTCTAAACTGTCATTCTCACTTTTCTCACTTGATTCACTCTCTTCATCATGTTTCTTGCTTCTTTGAGTTGAGTACTTGATAAAGAGGTGATCTATGCAATCCTTTGCCTTGAGTTCGACACTATACTCGTCATGTAGATCAACACCCAAGTAATTAAAAATTGTAGTTAACACCATTCCATAAGGTAACCCTTTATCTTGATTGATAGAAGTCATAGAGCTAAAAAGTAAGTGACACAAATTGTAGGGTTTCCCTTCTTGCAAATGCCACATTATACTACTTACATACCTGTAACTTCCAAGTCTAGGCAATATGTAGTATGAGATAAAATGGTGATAGATTCTCAAATTAATGGGGAACCCTTTTGCAGGCACTGTTTTCACCTTTTTCTTTGCAATTTTCTTAAGATATCTAGCTTCATCAAAGGTTTTCAACTTATTCACCTCATTTTTCCTACTAGCCTTTGTGCCTTCATTAGCAATTCTATATGCCTCAGAAAGGATTTCCTTAGAGATTTTATAGATTTTTCCTTTAAGCCAAACAGAAAAATATGTTTTCATCTTCCTATTGAGATTACCATAAAACCCCTTAACTAGAGATTCATAATAAACATTCTTAAGTTGTATAAATTTTATCCACCCTTGTTTATTGAACCACTTTCTAAGAAGATAAGCATTGGACCCTAAAACTCCCAATCAATATACTGACTCTTAATCAGATGATTTTCAGAACAGATTCTAGGTCTCACCTTTTATTTTTTTTTTCCTTGCTTGCTTTTCTTTTTCTCGAACCCAATTCTTTTTAAACCTTTTCTTTTCCTTTGTTTGTGGCAACAGTACCTAGATTTTCATTGGAGATTTCCTTTTCTTTGACCATAGAACTCATAGGATAAGTGAGGGGAAAGGTTTATGAGCTGCTGCACTCTTTATTCGAGCCATTAGAGCAAATTTTAAGAAAAATGATAGAGACAGATCTGAGTTCGTTTAGGTGAAGAAGTGTGTTTTGAAGGAGAAAAGGAGATTTTAGAGAGAGAGAGAGAGAGAGACGGTTACTGTCACTTTTACATGACTGAGGAGTTTTTAGTTCTTAAGAGAGTGGGTGACAGTTTTAGAGGCGAGGGAGAAGTGGTTTCTTATTTTTGGATTTTTCAAATAAGGAGGCAAGTTTTTAGAAGGATGGGGTCAGAGGATGATTACTAAACTGACATCTAATGCGAAACATTTCATTTATTTTAAACAAGGACAGAAAAGACAAGTAACAAAAGCACTACTAAATAAGAATGAAACACACCGTTTCATTAAAAAGGACTACAAAAATACCGTTTTGCCCTTCTTTTAAATAATCCATTTCTTTTAACACACATTGGTAGTTTTGACAAAAGTAAAAAAATCTTTAGAGAAGAATCAAGAAATACACAGTGTTTTAAGGAAAGAAGGCTGAGTTTGTCTTTAAAAGATACACATCATCTTCTTTTTGTATTCAAATGCAGAGTTTTTGGGCATCTTCTTAAAGACCTAATAGCAAAACAAAAAAAAAAAAAAAAAAGCAGTTTGTCTTTAAAAGATACACATCATCTTCTTTTTGTATTCAAATTGCAGAGGTTTTTGAGGCATCTTCTAAAGACCTTAATAGCAAAACAAAAAAAACAATAAAAAAAGACACCACAGAGTTAAAAACAAAAAAAAAAAAAAAAAAAAAAGACACAGAGTTAAAAACACACAGAGACAGAAATTACAAAATAAAATTAGGCACTCATACATGTATATTTACACAAACAAAATTTCTTAAGGTATTCAATGAAGCGCATATTTATAATCATGAAACTAAACAAATAAAGCATAAAAAGATCATCAAATTAATAGTTAGGATCAATCATACCAAGCTCTCTTCTTATGAAGCAAAATTGATTTTCATTGAGTGGCTTTATGAAGATGTCCGCAAGTTGTTTTCCTGTGGGTATGAACTCCATTACAATATCTCCTTTTTGCATATGGTCTCTTATAAAATGGTGTCTAAGCTCAATGTGTTTAGTTCTTAAATGTTGAATTGGGTTCTTTGAGAGATTAATAGCACTAGTGTTGTCACACTTAATGGGAATTCCATCAACCTTCAACCCATAATCCACAAGTTGTTGTTTGATCCATAATATTTGTGCTACACAACTTTTGGCTGCAATATATTCGGCTTCGGCAGTTGATAAAGCAATCGAGGTTTGCTTTTTACTAAAACATGTTACTAGAGCATAGCCTAGAAATTTGCATGCACCCGATGCACTTTTTCTATCAATTGTACTCCCTGTAAAATCAGCATCGCTAAAACCAACAAAATCAAATGAAGCATGCTTAGGATATCAAAAATTAGAAGTTCCCACTAAATATCTCAATTTTGACACCTATTAAGTGAGATTCCTTGGGACAAGATTGAAATTTTGCACAAAGGAACACACTAAAATGAATATCTGACCTACTTGTGGTTAAGTAAAGAAGAGAACCTATCATACCTCTATACATTCTAATACTAACATCTTTACATTTTTCATCTTTGTCAAATTTAGTTGTAGTGCTTATTGGAGTTTTACATACCTTTGCATTTTCCATATTGAATTTCTTTAGAAGCTCCTTTGTATACTTGCCTTGGTTTATGAAAATTCCATCTTTGCATTGTTTAATTTGTAAACCAAGGAAGAAATTTAATTCCCCCATCATGCTCATCTCGAATTCACCTTGCATAATCTTTGCAAAATCTTTACATATTAATTCCCCCATCATGCTCATCTCGAATTCACCTTGCATAATCTTTGCAAAATCTTTACATAAAGAATCGTTAGTGGCACCAAAGATTATATCATCTACATAAATTTGAACAACAAGGATGTCAAGTGCATTGTTTTTGATAAAAAGTGTAGTATCAACGTTGCCTCTTGAAAAACCATTTCAAGTAAAAATTTGCTTAGTCTTTCATACCAAGCTTTGGGAGCTTGCTTTAAACCATACAAAGCTTTTGAAAGTTTAAACACATGATTTGGTTATTCAAAATTTTCAAATCCAGGTGGTTCTGAACATACACCTCTTCATTCAAAAATCCATTAAAAAATGCTCTCTTAACATCCATTTGATATAACTTGAAATCTTTAAAGCTAGCAAATGCACTTAACATCCTAATGGCTTCAAGTCTTGCAACTGGAGCAAAAGTTTCATCAAAATCAATTCCTTCTTCTTGGTTGTAACCTTGAGCCACTAGTCTAGCTTTGTTTCTAACTACATTTCCATGTTCATCAAGCTTGTTTCTAAATACCCATTTAGTTTCAATAATGGAATGATTTTTGGGTCTAAGGACAAGCTTCCAAACTTGGTTCCTCTCAATGGAAAAAATGATTATTATGAAGAGAAATCTAAAGACAGATTACAAACAACTTAAGAGATATCCTAATCAAATATTAAAGATTAATAACTATTGCCCATAGCCAAAGAGATCTTAAGATATTATTTAAATAATAATATGGAGCCAATCAACATTACTTTTTAGATTATCAAATCTTAGAAACAAGGCATACATACCAAAGTTATTCCTTAGAGCGCCCCCAGTCATTTTGTTTCTAACTACATTTCCATGTTCATCAAGCTTGTTTCTAAATACCCATTTAGTTTCAATAATGGAATGATTTTTGGGTCTAAGGACAAGCTTCCAAACTTGGTTCCTCTCAAATTGATTAGTTCCTCTTGCATAGCAAGAGTCTAATTTTCATTATTATGAGCCTCAACTACATTTTTAGTTTCAATCTTAGAAACAAAGGCTACATTACCAAAGTATTTCCTTAGAGCCGCCCGAGTCATCATCTTCTCAGATGGGTTGTCAATTATATCCTTTTGTGGATGATATTTATGAAATCTTCACTCCTTTGGTAAGTCTTGATGTTCTCCACTTGCAGTCTCAAGCATTTGCCTTTCTCTTTGTCCATCTTCATGTTCATCATTTGGATTTTCATTTTGTTCCTCATTTTGTTGTTCATCTCGCTCATTTTGCTCATTTTGCTTTTCTTATGTCATATCTATAACATCATCACTAATATCCATATTTCTAGAAGTAGAGTTAGTTTCATCAAATACAACATATATGGACTCTTCTACTACTAGAGACTCTTTATTGAACACCCTAAAAGCCTTGCTATTATTTGAATATCCAAGAAAAATACCTTCATCTACTTTAGCATCAAATTTAGCTAACTAACTTTTCTTATTATTCAAAATAAAGCATTTGCAACCAAACACATGAAAATAACTTATATTAGGCTTTTTACCTTTCCAAAGTTCATATGGAGTTTTCTTAAGAGTAGATCTTACCAAAGTTCTATTAAGAATGTAGCATGAAGTATTGATTGCTTCGGCCCAAAAGTACGTTGAAAGTTTAGCATTATTGATCATTGTTCTAACCATCTCTTATAGTGTTCGGTTCTTTCTTTCAACAACTCTGTTTTGTTGAGGTATTTTAGGGGCTGAAAATTTGTGAAATATTCTCATTTCTTTGCAATATGAATCAAAGTTTTGATTTTCAAACTCCCTTCCATGATCACTTCTTATGGATGTAATGTTGTAGCCTTTTCATTTTGAATCCTCTTGCACAAATGAATAAATTGGTTAAATGACTTAACCTTAGTTCCAAGGAAGAGTGTCCGTGTAAACCGAGAATAATCATAAAAAATTACAAAGGCATATTGTTTGCCACCAAGGCTAGAAGAGGTAGTGGGTCCAAATAGATTAAGGTGCAAAAGCTCCAAGGGTCTAAAAGTTGATATCATGCCTTTAGACTTAAAAGAGGTTCTTGTTTGTTTACTTAATTGACATGCATCACAAATGTGGTCTGTTTCAAACTTAATCTTAGTTAAACCTCTAACTAGGTCTTTCTTTGAGAGCTTAGAGATTAAATGCACACTAGTATGATCGAATCTTTTGTGCCATAACCAACTAGAGTTATCAATAGACAATAAACACATATCATCAAGGTTATGAAATTCATTAAGATCAACTAAATAAAAATTCTCAAATCTTTTTGCAATAAACAATGTTCTGTTATCATGCTTACCTTGGACTTCACAATGTGATAATTCAAATATGACTCTTCTATTCTTATCACACATTTGACTTACACTTAAGAGATTGAATTTCAAACCTTTTACCAAGGATACATCCTCAATTGATGGATGTGCGCCAACTATGCCCTTTCCAATAATTTTTCCTTTGCTTTTATCTCCATAGCTAACTGATCCTCCTTCATATCGATCTTGATGAATTGCTTTTTGTCACCCGTCATGTGCCTTGAGCAAGCGCTATCCATATACCACAGTTCCGTTTTTAGGTCACTCCCCAGGCAGACTTAAAAATCAATTAACCAGATTTCGGTACCCAATGAACATTGGCTCCTTGGAGGTTAGTGGTAAAAGCATGTTTGATTTCTTTTAATTTTCAGTCCTTTTTCTTAAGTTTTGGGTCAAATTTTAGAGAGCAGGTTTTAGCATTTTGTCCTTTACCATTACAAAGGCTACATATCATTGGTAGTGAAGTTCAAGTACTACCTTTGACAAAATTTTGACCAAAATTGTAGCTCATAAAACCATTATAGCTAATGACATATTTTTCTTTTGCCAATTTTTGATTTCCTAACAAAACATCCAAAGTTTCTTTCCTTTTGTGAAAGTTGCCAAGTCATTTTTTGAAGTTTCAACTTCCTTTTTGAAAGATTCATTTTCAAAGTAAGCATGTTGCAATTTTCATTTGAATCATCCAATTTCAATTTTTTTCTCCGAGCAAGTTCTAACACTAGCATATAAATTTAGTGTGCATTCTTTCCTTTCTTTTAAAGCTTCAATTTCTTCTAAGGGATTTTTGTAGGTAATTTCTTTGAAAAAAGCATCTCTTAGAAGATCACGTTCTAGTTTGAGCTTTTTGAAATCTTTCTTTAGGCAACTATATTTCTTACAAGTATCTTTGAAGTTCAAGTAAAGCTCTTTAAAATCATTTTCAAGTTCATTATAGCTCATAGGTTTAGAATCACTTACATCGCTTTCAATTGCTTTACTACATTCAGCTTTCTCAAGTGAAATTAGCTTGCTAATTTCGTCTAACTCTGGATCAGTTATAGCCATCAAGCATATATTTGTTGTTTCAGTGCTTTCTTCATTATCCAAGCTTCACTCATCACTGTCACTTCAGGTTGCAATCATGGCTTGCTTTGCTTTGTTCTTTTTAAGCTTCTTTTTAAGTTTTAGGCAATTTGGCTTGATGTGTCCGGGCTTGTCACATTCAAAGCATATGACTTCATTTGACTCTTTCTTTTTTTTATTTTCCACCTTTGGTGGAGATGTTGCTAAATTTCTTATATCTCGATCCACCTTTCTTTAGCATTCTTTTAAATTTTCTTACTATGAGAGCCATGTTATCACTATTAGCTTTGCTTGAACTTTCATCACTTGTTGGAACCTTGAAAGGTAAGCCTTTTCTTCTTTTGTCTTCAACGTTCTCAACATTTCTATTCATCATCATTTCATATGTGAGAAGTGAACCGATCAACTTGTCATAGGTAAATTTCTTGAAATCCTTTACTTCAAATAAGATGGTGACTTTTGATTCCCATATATCCGGTAGAGATAGAAGGATTTTCTTTGTAAGTTCTTCTTCTGAGATATTCCTGCCAAGAACCTTCAAGGAATTAACAATGTTAGTAAATCTAGTATTCATCTCAGAAATGTTCTCATCATTTTTCATAAAGAACATTTCACAATCTCTCCATAAAAGGTTTATCTTTGATTCCTTCACTTGGTTGGTTCCCTCATATGTAACTTGTAGCTTTTCCCATACTTCCTTGGCGGAGGAACAACCTAAAACTTTGTTATATTCATTAACATCTAAAGCACAATGTAAGATATTGATAGCTTTAGCATTTAAGGCAATGCTTTTCCAATCATTATTCGTATATTCCTCTTCAAGCTTGTCAAAGTGACACCCTCAACAACTTTCTTAGGAATTTCAGGACCTCTTATAATATTCTTCCAACATTCAATATCACAGATTGCACAAAGTTTCTCACCCTAGTTTTCCAATAAGAATAGTTTGTACCATTAAACAAGGGAGGTCTGGTTATGGATTGTTGAGGAAATTAAAGGAAAGAATGTGTTGTATTTCTTTATATTGTGTGTTAATTACAATCCCTACACTAGGTAATTATATACAAGAATCTCTCTAGCGTAGGAAAACAATTAACTAGTAAAGTCTAGCTAACTAGGAAAGTAAATCAATATTGATTATAAGGATTTCAACACTCCCCCTCAAGTTGGTGCAAAGATATTACACATGCCCAACTTGCAAACCAAAGGATGAAATAACTTGCTACTCAAGCCTTTTGTGAAAACATTAGCCAGTTGTTCTTTTGAAGCCACATAGGAAACATTTATGGAACCTTCAACTATGTTCTCTTTTATAAGATGACGATCAATTTCTATGTGTTTAGTTCAATCATGCTTGACTAGATTATTCAAAATGCTAATGGTTGCTTTACTATCATAAAACAAGGATGTGTATGTTGTTTCGAACAACTTTAATTCTCCCATCACTCTACGTAACCATAGAATTTCACAGATTCCTTGTGCCATAGCTCTATACTCAGCTTCTATACTGGACCTAGCAACAGCAATCTGTTTCTTGCTTCTCCATGTGAACAAGTTTCCACCGAGAAAAACACAACAACTTGAGGTTGATCTTTTATCATCAAGAGAACCAGCCCAATCTGCATCTGTGTAGCCTTTTTTATTTTCAAATGGCCATGTTTAGAAAATAACAATCCTCTACCTGGGGCTGATTTTAAATATCTCAAAATTTGATGCATAGCTTCTAAGTGACATTTCTGAAGGTCATGCATGTACTGACTCACTAGACTAACAAAATAGGCAATATCTGGTCTAGTATGGGAAAGATAAATTAGTCTCCCAACCAATCTTTGATACCTGCCTACATCAACCGGACTTCCTACTCTAGCTTGAAGCTTGTGATTAGCTTCAATGGGTGATTCTGCAGGCTTACATCCCAACATATCGGTTTTCTTAAGGAGATCAAGAACGTACTTCCTTTGAGAGATAAAAATTCCTTTTTCAAATCTAGCAATTTCAATTCCAAAGAAATATCTCAACTTTCCCAAATCCTTAATCGAACTTCCTAGCTATCAAATTTCTCAAGTAAGTCATTTCTTCTTCATTATTCCCTGTCACCACTACATCATCGACATAAACAATAAGTAATATGATCTTACTTGCATGATGTTTAATGAACAAGGTATGATCAGCATCGCTTTGAATGTACCCAAAAGAGAATATGGCTTTACTGAATCTTTTAAACCATGCTCTTGGTGACTGCTGCATCCTATATAATGACTTCTTCAGCTTACAAAATTTCCACTGGTCTTGTCATCAGCAAATCTAAGAGGAATCTCCATATACACCTCTTCTTTTAAATCACCATGTAGAAAGGTGTTTTTAGCATCAAATTAATGTAACTCCCAGTCAAGATTAGTTGCACAAGATAATAAAATTTCGATAGTGTTCATCTTTGCTATAGGAGCAAACGTCTCCTGGTAATCAACCCTATAGGTCTGACTAAACCCTTTGGTTACCAATCTAGCCTTGTATCTCTCAATTGAACGATCTGCCCTATGTTTAACTGTGAACACTCATTTACATCCAACTGGCTTCTTTCTTAGTGGAGAAATTATAAGAGCAATAGGAATATCAAGATCAGTATCAGAGTAATTAGAATCAGGATTAGGATCAAAATCAACAGGGATTAAAGACGATTTACCAGGTTCTTGTTCTTCTGTATTTTCAGGACCTAAATTTGGAGAGGATGGTTGAGCAGAGATTTCATACTCTATGGTGTATCTTATTACCCCACCGTGTGTAGGTTTTCAAATCAGGTCTATCTAATCTTCCTAGAGTTTTTGTTGGTTGGTCTCTTTTATTATCTATGCCTATAGGAATCTCCCCCTGGAAAGGAATCTCGATAGAATTATCCATCACCTCTTCCATCTAACATTTCTCCCCTTGAAGAGGTGATTGGGAAGGAAAATAAGATTCAAATTCTCTAAAAGTAACATCCATGCTCACAAAGTATTTTCTCGAAGGAGGAATCAACCTATTCAGAGTCTGACTAAACCCCTTTGGTTACCCACATCTAGCCTCTTGTAATCCTTCTCAACTTGAACCGATCTGCCCTATGATTACACTGTCTGAAAACTCCATTTTACATCCCAACCTGGCCCTTCTTTCTTAGTGGAGAATTCATCAAGAAGCAATAGGCAATCATCAAGATCAACAGTATCAGCATACGTTAAATTAGAATTCAGGAATTAGGAATCAAAATCAACAGGGCATTAAAAAGAGATTTACCAGGTTCTTGTTTTTCTGTATTCTTCAGGGACCTAAATTGGAGAGGTATTGGTTGAGCAGAGATTTCATACTCTATGGTGCTATCTATATTACCCCACCGTGGTGTTAGGTTTTCAAATCAGGTCTATCTCAATCATTCCTAGAGTTTTTGTCTGGCTTAGGTCTACTCTTCTATTCATCCTAATGCCATATCAGGAATCTCCCCTGGAAAGGGACATCTCGATAGAATTATCCATCACCTCTTCCATTCTAACATATTCTCCCCTTGAAGAGGTGATTGTGAAGGAAAATAAGATTCAAATTCTCTAAGGAAGGAAAATAAGATTCAAATTCTCTAAAAGTAACATCCATGCTCACAAAGTATTTTCTCGAAGGAGGATAACAACATTTGTACCTCTTCTGAGTATTAGAGTAGCCAACAAACACACACTTCAAAGCTCCAGGATCTAATTTGCCTAGGTCATTCTTATGAATAAAACAAACACAGCCAAAAATTTTAGGAGGTATAATATAAGAGCTTTTTCCTTGAAGAACCTCTAATGGAGTTTTAAGTTTAAAGTACAAAGAGGCATACTATTAATAAGTTAAGCAGCAGTCAAAATAACATCCCCCTAATATGGTTTAGGAAGATTCATAGTAAACATAAGAGACCGAGCTACTTCTAGTAAATGCCTATTTTTTTTCTTTCAGCTACTTCATTTTGAGCACTAGTATTGACACAACTTTTTTTATGTATGATACCATTGGAATCTAAATAGGTACGAAAATTTGCATTCATGTATTCAGTACCATTATCAGTTCTTAGGATTTTAACATGCGTATCAAACTGAGTACAAATCATTTCATGCGTATCAAACTGAGTACAAATCATTTTATGGAAGTTCTGAAAACACGAAAAACCTTCATTTTTTCCTTTCATCAAATAAACCCAAGTCAGTCTAGTGCAACAATTAATAAAAGTCATAAACCATTTATAACCAGAAAGAGAAACAGTTTTAGCAGGACCGTATACATCAGAATGAATAGTAGCAAAAGGTACCAAACTTTTATTATTAATTAAAGAATAAGACTGCCTAGTGTGTTTGGCAAGTTCACAAGCATCACATCCTAGTGTGTTTGGCAAGTTCACAAGCATCACATACTAATAAATCAAAATCACACTTAGTAGACAAATTGGGAAATAAATGTTCTAAACAGAAAAAGAAGGATGTCCTAATCTCCTATGCCATTGAATAACCTCATGGGAAGGATTTCTAGAAGTTCCTGACAAAGCTTGACTGGTACCCAGATTTAAAAAATGACACACGTCATCCAACAGATACAGTCCATCATGCAAGCTACCACTGCCAATCGTTCTCCCTGTGTTCAGCTCCTGAAATATACAATGAGTAGGATAAAAGGTTACTTTGCAATTAAGTGTTTTTGTAATTAGACTAACAAATAACAGATTAAAAGGAAATCTAGGAACACGAAGAACAAAGGAGAGATTAATATTGGGAGTACAGTCAATAGAACATATACCAGTAATCGGTACTAAGGAGCCATCCACAATGCAGATTTTGGCGATGCCTCGATATTTAATATATATAAGGAAATATTTTATAGAGCCTGTTGTATGTTTGTTTGCTTCTGAATTGCAATTTTAGTAAGGAAAGTAAGAAAAGCATTACTTGAACTGACAAAATTAGAAGCTGCAATTTGAGTTGAAGAAGAATCAAGCTGTAACAACAATCATTTCAGGGACTGAATTTCCTTATCCGAAAAGCTACCAGCAGTAGATGGTTCTCTAGATAAAACCCCACCATCAGATATGTGCGCTTGTGGTCTAGAAGAACTGACACGTTTCCTTGAATGCCCTTTAGTTGGGTGTCCATGTAATTTCCAGCAGAACTCCTTAGTGTGCCTGTTCTTACCACAATAGTCACAAACTACCTAATCTCTATCCAAAGTCCACTCTTCGCAGCCTGTATTTGTTCTCTTTGTTCTTACCACAATAGTCACAAACTACCTAATCTCTATCCAAAGTCCACTCTTCGCAGCCTGTATTTGTTCTCTTACAGAATTAGCAATCAACCCTACTTTATCAACGATAGACTTGTGAACCATGGCACTCCTCCTAGTCTCCTCTTGTTGTACAAAGGAGTATGCTTATCGCAAGGATGGAAAGGATCTTGTCCAAAAACTTGAACATGAATATGATCATACTCGTTATTTAGGCCTAGTATAAAATCATACACACGCTATAATTCAATCAACTTTTGAACTTAAGTTGCATAATCAGGACTTCATGCTTGAAAATCCTAGTAATAGTCCAATTCCTGCCACAATCTACTAAGTTCTGCAAAATATTGAGCGATAGTCAGATCCCCCTGCTTTTTCTCATGAACTTTATATCGCAATTCATATCTCTGAGCATAGTTTCCAGTTTGTGAATACATCTGTAAAGCGGCATCCCATATCTTCTTAGCTGTATCAAGAAGCAAATATCCTTGAGAAATAGTTGGTTGCATGGAATTTATTAACCAAGACACATAATAAGAGAATTCTCGAATTTCCACTTATTAAAGCCCGGATCTGTCGAAACTGGTTTAGTCGCTCCACCATCAAGGTATCCCTGCAAACCTCTAGCTTCAATGAATAATAAACAAGACCAAGACCGAGACCAAGCCAGGTAGTTTGTTGACCGAGACCAAGCCAGGTAGTTTGTTCTATCTAACTTCACTAGACTAATCTGAAGTGAGGGGCTTTCCTAGTGAAAACCCATATCTACCTTCTTTACATCACCCATACTGTCAGACTGAAAAAAAAAACTCAAACGACAGTGGTGGAAATAAGCCAAAAAAGGGAAAAAAATTCCAAAAAGGCAAAATTGGTGCTGAAGAACCAATAGGTCAAAGTCGCCACACCTAGTCAAGGCCACTGAAACAAGAAATTTCGACAGAGCTCGCCGAAAACAGTCGTACGCAGTAACGCATGAAGAATGGCTAGAAACTTCTAGAGGTCTATGTGCACACGAGCGTGGTCAGACGGCGACTCAGTTTTGATGGAGGGTCGATCGGCAGTCGCTCTTCCTTTTGAGGTGGGCGGTGACAACCAACTCCCACTCCCAGCGGTGCTGTGTGTATCTCAGACCACTCTCAAACCAAAACCATTCTGAAAACTTCACGACAATGGCTTTGATACCATAAAGAAATTAAAGGAAAGAATGTTTTGTATTTCTTTCTATCATGTGTTAATTACAATTCCTACACTAGGTAATTTATATACAAGAATCTCTCTAGAATAGGAAAATAATTAACTGGGAAAGTCTAGCTAACTAGGAAAGTAAATCAATATTGATTATAAGTATTTCAACAACTGTCCTTCAAGAGGACACGAAGGTTAGAGGAAGAAGCCATGGGATCACTCTAAGGTGGTTAAACCTTTTAGATCAAGAGCCATAGCTTTGATACGAGATTGTAGGTCCCAATAAGCAAATATCCAAGAGGGGGGTGGATTCGTATTTTTAAAAATTAATCCTTTTTTAGAATATTACAATCACAGTACAAGCAACATTTTATACCAACTCAAATCAGATAATAACCATGTATAAGGCAATTAAACATTCAATCTGATATATCATAGACATTAAAACATATAGCTCAACCAGTTACTATATAATTCACCGAAATTAGTCTGCAGAGATTCTGCAAGTCAGTAACTAATTTAAGCAATCTCAGAATTCAAATAAACACAGTACAACACAAGTAACAGAGTTGATTCATCAAGCATAAACAGATACTCAAGTGAGTGTGTGAGAAAATAGCAATCAAGAGAAGAAAGAGGAGAAATTAACACAATCAATTTTATAGTGGTTTGGCACTTCTCACACCTATATCCACTCCTTAAGAAATCATCTTGAGATCCTCCACTATCAAACTCTTTTCAGAGGCAAGAGCAAAGCCAAATACAATGGAAATAGCTCAACACCTAAAACTAACCATTCCCCATAAGTTTTTCAAAGGACTTATAAACCTATCCTTTCTAGTTTTTGGCAAAGAACTAGATAAAAACTTAACCCCACTAGTTTTTAATAAGAACTAGGAAACTTCCAGGACTTGCTCTTACTTAAAGAGAGGTGCTTGATTACCTAAACAACACAAGCTTCACACAAGCTTTGTTCTCATAAGATTTTTCATTTTTGTTTTTCTCTACTCTATTCTAGATTAACAAGAACACAAGCTTCACACAAGCTTTGTTCTCATAAGATTTTTCATTTTTGTTTTTCTCTACTCTATTCTAGATTAACAAGAACCTATAATAAAAAGGGAGTTATGCCCATTTAAGCTTGGGAAAGAGATTTTAAAATGTATTTTTAATTTTTGAAAGATGAGATTTGAAATACATTTTTCCCCTCTTAATATTTCAAGAAATATTATTTTAACAAAAAGATCTCCTTTAAGTAGATATTTTAAAAAGGGTAGAAAGAAGATTTTAATTTAGCTAGAATAGGCATAGTCTATATTTCTATATTAACAAAATGAACTAGACTAAGCTAATTAGGCCAACTTACTAATTACATTGCCTTCAATTCTTCAAGTAGCCTTATTGGTCTTCATTTGGATAAGTCTTATTCTTCAATTTGATGAGATCACTTGAATTAATTTCTGCACAAGACTTTAAAAACATACTATATAATAATTTATTTTAATTATTATTTTTGTTGATCATCAAAATTTAAGGTTGTAAAAGCCCTTGAGCCAATAAGTACCCTGCCACTTATGCAAATGATGAGCCTTATCGAACTCCCTATCGATAGTTTGCATCACACATGATATTTAGCAACTCAGTCTTACAGAAATATAAATCAAACTTTTAACTTAATTGGATCTAAACATAACATTTCAGACAAAGCAAATTAAATTGACCATCCAACATATGAAAAAAAAAAACAAACGTTTGTAATATAACAATCTAAAATTCATGAAAGATCCTTACCATCAACTTTATAGTCACCCAATTGAGGGATACGATCTTCAGCATAATTGGATCAATGGACACAGGAGCTGTGCTGCCACGAGACCTTGGTGTTCCCATGCTTTGAGATGATGGGGATCTCTTCATAACTGACTTCTTTGGAGTATGAAAAAGATTCTTAACTGGAGGACTTTTGTTTTTCATTTTCCCTAATATAGGGGGTCCTTGTTTTCTTTCGGCTGAATTCAGGTGAGTCCAGTATTTGAAGAGGTATTATAGAGTTGTGACCAAGAGGTGTTTTCTGCTCATCAATGGAGATAACATTTCTGTCAAATATAATGGCCTCTAACTTATTAGTTACTACCATATAAACTGACATTTGGTATCCCTTCCTGACCCTGTAGTGTTCATATACTTCCTCTATGCCTTTGAAGATGGCTAGGACCTAACCATCAATACTCTGAGTCACGATTAACCAAGTATTATGACCGATAGAAATTAGCACCTTCGTCCCGATTTCACTATAGTGAACATGCGATAATTTCTCTCCCAGGACTTGTGCATATAGTAAGTCAATGATTTGTTATGTTGGCAAGAAAACCATGAATAGTATAATAATGGAATGATATTTATATAGTAATTACTGAAAACTCAAATCTTGTTAGATAACCATTAGCATTTAATGAAAATAATGGACAAGGAACATCACCAATTGGCCCTCAGCGAGATTCTCAGCCGTGATAACAACCTTGCGGCTATCCATGTTCATTATCCTACGAAAAAACGGGTATTGAAATTGATTGAAGCATTTGTTAAAAATCATAAAGTAAAAAAAACTGCTAGCATGTACATGATGTATGGTAAAACAGTTTGTAATTTAAGTAAGATGCAAAACAACCAAAAAACGTAAACAACTCCTATACAAATGGATTCGGTCTATAATAAGCAGAAAGGTTAAATATTTCCACAGATCCAAATCGAAGATGAGAAAAGCATGACTCTAAAAGATCTTAGAAAAAATTACACCCTTCACACATAAAGTTTAATGCTTTTAGAGCATCTCAAGTTAACCATTGCATGCTATCTTCAACAGACTGATTATATCAGTTTCACACACTAAAATCATCTAAGAAAGAAAGAGTCGAAGAGTTTTCAAGAATCATTTTCACAAATAAATCGATGAATCGATGGATCTACAAAACAATTATCACTTTTAAACATCCATTAACAATCGCTATAACACAAAGAAGAGAGATAAGTTACCTGACTCCTGAGGAGAGAGAAGCAACACATTAAACTGATTTTGGAACCCTAAGAGACGCAGTGATGACCCTTACTTATGAAGGGAAGCAACGCTAATTTTTTAATTATTTAATAACACTGCTTAATGCCCAAGCTATGATGAGGTTAATGCTATAATTTGTTCGTGTTTACTTGTCACACATTATTCTACTATAAGACATGACATGTCGCTCCTAATATATTTAATAAGCACTTAATACTTATAAATGCTTACTAAGTATACTACAAGGGACTTAAAATTTTTCATTCATTCATTTATATCTTGTAAAGAGTAAATTTAGTTATTGAAATAAGTGTAAAACGTATTTTGGTTCTTCCACCCGTTATAAAGAAATGCATTTTTAGTAATTTGTTACATATCTGAAACATAACTTCTATTAAGCTCAATAAAATAGTCGAGTCAATATAATTTCTTAAGCATTAATTACATTATAAAAAGCATTAAATGGTTCCATAACCCATAAGTCCATGGATGATTTAATTACATACTGGAATCCTTTCTAAACATTAGATACATGGTAGAAAGTAAGTACTTTAATAGAATACAAACTTTCAAATTTACACACTCATAATTTACATGTATTTGATCAAATATACATAGCTGTTCTGTTAATATTTAATACACCATACATATTCCAAAAAAGAAACCAAGTATACAATACTTACATCAGTAGCATACTATCTACATCAAACAAAAACGATCCTCTCCCATTTTCTTTTCCTTTCCTTTTCTAGCGATAGTACAAAAGCAACTATCGCTAAGCATATTGCTTAGTGGTGTACTATTGTAAAACAAACACAATTTATCAAATAAAAACTTTTTACAGGAAATAATGAATCATAATTCATAAACCCACCATATTAAAGGAAATAAGAAAAACAATATCATTTAAATCATAAATTTGTAATGTAGTCTTTACAGCTTTTATAGAGTCAGTTCCAAGGGCCATCAATGTCTAATGTGCAAATCTAGACCTGTTATCTACAACTTCAATCTATGATATGATTTCAACAGAAGAGGGAGCAATCTACAACCTCAATATGGAGGGAGAAAATTAAGTCACTTTTTAAGGAAAATAACTTTTCATTTTCGAGAAAGTAAAACATTTTTCTTACATTGACAAACTTTATAAATCTATATTTTTTAATTTATTAATCATTGTAATCATTACCACCAGTCACCATTTACCATCGACCACCACCACCGGCCATCGGCGACTTTTTCATAATTTACATTTTTTTTTTTACATTCTTCTCATATTTATCAAACAACAGAAAATATTATAACCAAACAACGGAAAATAATTCATTTGAAAAATATTTTTTCAGAAAAATATTTTCTATGAAAAATATTTTTTAACAAATTATTTTCCTACAAGTTATTTGACGGGAAGAAACGGAGCATCAGTATTTTGAATCTCTGATTGTAGGGGCCAAATCTATTTCTTTGAGTTTCTGTCTCTTTCCAACCAAATTGCTAATTAATTTTTTTGATTTTTGCTATTTGGAAGTTAGTTTTAATTTTTTTTTTTTTTTTTTGGAGATTTATTGTCTAATTTATTGGGCTTTTAATGAGAATTTAAAAGAAATTCTTTCATTATTTTCCCTTTAGCCATAGTTACCCTCACTCTATATTGTATTAGGGTATTTTATGTCTTTTTCTAGCAATTTAACAGCAAAATCCATCTTAATTGGATGAAGGGACTATATTATTGGATGGAGACAAAAGTTAGAATGTAGTAATATATTTTGGAAAATACAAGGACAAAATAACATTTTTGACCATAACTGAGGGTCTAAATAGTAATTCTCTCATGGACTTATTACTAAAGGTGGACGATGGACTTATTATCTAAAGTGGACGATGGACTTTCTGAGTAGGCATGTCCACCGGTTCGGTTCTAACCGGAATCGAACCGTACTGTAGACGAACTGGAACCAGATCGAAATCGGCAGTTTATAATTTTGAACCGGAATCGGTGGTTCAAGAGCCCGTTAAGGTTCATGTAAATGTTAAAATATGAACCGGAACCGGCGGTTCCGGTCCAGTTCGAACCGGATGCACAAAAAATTGTAGCTTAAAATTTTTATAAAAAAATTTATATCACTTGATTTGATTGTAGTTGATTTGGATGCACAAAAAATTGTAGCTTGAAATTTTAATAAAATTTATATTCACTTGATTTGATTGTAGTGATTTGAGTTTATGGTGAAAAGAGTAAAAATGGTACTAAGTTATAAAAAGTTGTGAAAAAAATACAACATTTTTTAAACTTAATTTTAGTTTTAAAAAATGGCTACATGAATAGTTGATTTATATAAAAAAAATACTTTCAGCAGTGTACAAAAAAAAGAGTGTAAGGATAGTTTTTGGATATGATGTATTGTTTTATTTATTTTTGGGTAGCGCAACTAAATTTTGATTCATTGAGAGTTTAATCATTTATTATTTATTTACCTGTTAAATTTAATAAATTATCCAAAAATATAACTGTTTTATTTTTCCTGTTTAAGGGACGAATTTGGAAACTGAAAAATGGAAACATGTATAAATATGATGGAGTTGAAAAATAATTTTTTTTTATTTCGACAATCAATTATATCCTAAACTCTTTCTTATTCTCAATCAAATTCCTCTCAAATTTCGCCATAGAACTTCACATTATTTTTTCTATTGCTTTATTTTCCTTAATATTGGAATTATCTATTGTTAATTTTTTATTTTCTTACATCCATTTCCAAATTCCTTTTCTAATCTCAATTTTCCATTCATATTACTTCAATTTGATTTTTTTAAATATTTTCTAGTATTTGAAAATAATAATTTCCAACTCATCCATTTAATTTTATATTCCATTTATAGTTTTTTATATTAAGTAAATAAGCCAATTATTAATTTTGTTTTAAATCTTTAAGATATTTATATTCTTTATATATTTATTTATTGAAGTTTTTCTTTTAAATTTTTATAATAATTCATTAGTTATAAATTTAAAACAATTTAAACATTTTAAAATTATTATTTATTCATGAATTCTGAATCAAAATTTTATTATTTTTTTAAAATTTTGAATAATGCCGAAACCGAATCGGAACCGTAATTTGAACCGTCGATTCACCGAAACCGTGCTGAACCGTGCCGGAACCGGAACCGGAACCGGAGATTCAAGGGTCGGTTCCGGTTCAAAATTTTAAACATCTCGAACCGGCGGTTTAGTGAACCCGAACCGACGGTTCACTAAACCGGCCATGCCTATTTCTGAGACAATATTGAAGGACTCTGTATTTCTATTTGCTTTCAATATTTCTTATATTATTTTTAAGTTATCACTTCGGATTGTTTTATGATGTTTATTTGATTTTATGCATTTATTATTATGTAACTTATTTAATTAATTTTCTTTAATTAAACATGAAATAAATACATGAAATGATATTGAAATTAATTATGTCGATAATAAGGATATTAAACGATGATTAGAAACATAGTAACCTACGCCCAATATACATATTAATTAACACAATTAATTATACAAATATATGTATTGCTAGACATTGCTAAAAGTGGGTATATGTCTTGTGTAAAACTTTGTTTTTACAAAATGACAGATGCTTCCAAAAATATTGTCGTAAAGAATTAAATGGCGATAATTATGAAATATGAAATATGAAATATGAAAATCCAATATATGCCGAAAGAACAAGACTTTCTTAATATTATTATATATAGAAAGACCTGATAAAGGCAACATGACCGAACATAAGAGGGACCGTGAAGCATATGATGCTTGGAAGAAAAAGAACTACCTTGCTCGCATTATGTTGCCAAGCGTCATAGATAGATTTATCATGACAGAGTTCAAAAAATATGGCAATGCTAAGGACATAGTGTCTGCAATAAAAAGTACAATTTGGAGGTATAAGTGTTATCAAACTCAGATGTTTATGATTTAATTCTGGTTTTTCAATTTTTAGAACCAAAATCAATGGGTTTAGATTGAAACCAATGGTTCCAATTTAAAACTGTAAAAGAAGAAAAGAATTACGAATTTAAAGATTATTAATCAAACTCTTAATTTATTTTCTGTTTAATTATAATTTTTTAAAATAAATGTTAAGATTCTTTTATTACACTCAGTTTAATCTTATCATATTATTAATTATTATTATTATTATTATTTGTTCATGCTAAAAAATTTAAATTAAGAAAAAAGTTGAAAAAAAGTTGTTCTTTTCTTGTTTGAAATGGGAATCGAATCGGAATCGGCAATCCAATAAAAAATGTCTAAAAGTTGTTTGGTTTTAATTTCAATTTTTTTAAAAATCGAACTGGTAATTCTAAAATCAAAATCAGTAATTCAAGACCATGGTCACAGCTACTAATTGACAAAAGAAATTTTAAAAAAAATTGAATTGCAAATTTGACCAAATTAAAGAAAGGGCAAATATAATATGATTCCTGTAATTTGCGAAATATAACTAGTGTGTTGCTGTATTTTTTAAAATATATCAATGTTCTCTATGTTTTGCTTCCGTTGCACTATTAGATTATTCAGTCCAATTTTTACATGTTTTCTGCTAAGTCAATAAGAAAATACAGAGATTAAAAGAGATATGCTAAAATATTATACTAAAATTTTGCAGTACAGCCTCTTTAGTTTGAAAAATATAATTAGTCCATCCCTGTATTTTTAAAAATAAAATGGGTATTTTCTTTATTTTATTAGATACCTAAATGAAAAAATACAAAAATTGGACGGAATGACTAAATTATAAGGATGTTTTAGTATATTTTCTAAAAAAAACGAGATATATTAGTTGTATTTCGCAAACTACATGGATCATACTGTATGTTTCCCTTAAAAGAAGGAAAAAAAAGAATTAGAAAGACAACGAAGAGATTGAAGAGTGAAGAAAAAAAAAGCCACTTCTTTTTTCTTCATATCTTTGATTTGCAAGAAGGGTAGATCAAATGAAAAGAGGACATGAGAGAAGAAGAGAAGAATATTTTAGGTGGTCTTAGAAATACAAAATACTTTGAAAAAAGCCTGACTCTAACCCATTTTTTCAATTTATATTTAAACATTTTTACTAATTTTATCATTATAAAAAAATTTTAGTATTTTTTAAGAGCATATTGAAATTCAAAAATTTAACTATTCAATAAATGTGGATGGAATTAATCCATTACCCTTTAATTTTCTCTACTTAATCAATTTGATTAATATTTGTTTTGTTTTTGAATGTACATTAATATTAGTTAGTTGCAATGAAATATATTAATTAAATGTATTATTATCAATTAGTAGCACACGCGAAGAAAATTTATAGTGATCTGTTTTAAGAGCATTTGAATCTGCTCAAGAAATTAACTATTGAACTAGAACTTGGCTGGAAGTTGAGAAATTAAGTCCACTTTACACGCTCTTTACTAATTTCTCTCCTCTACTGCAACTAATGCAATTTACGCATGAGGGAGTATTGTTTTTAGTCATGTTTTGATGTCATTAATATTAGTTGATTGCCAGAATAATATTTAATTCATGTATATTATTATTAATATATATACATATATATATAGTATATATTATAATAGATGAGTCTATATATTATATACTATTATATTAAAATAACACTTATTTACATTACGTTTTTTTTTTTTTTTTTTTTTGAAATAGATTCAAGTGTATTCTAATAATTAGGATAAATTAAAAAAAAATAAAATAATAGGCCCACCCCTACCATGCATTTACCTGAAAAGTATGGCCAATTGTACCAGAAGAGACCATTTTTGCACCTACTGAGCAACGTGAACTTTAATCTACCACATGCAAAACTGAACTGTTAAAGAACAACTCAATCATTTTTAAAGTTAGACGTTTTGGCTTTTACTTTCAACGGTCGAAGTAACAGAAAGAAAAAGGTAAAGAACAATCTATTGGAGTCGACACTTTTCCAGATAGCTTTTCTTTCATTAAGCTCATAGTGTGGATTTTAAATTCACACACTTTATTTCTGGTTCTTGAAATGACTACAGCATCAATTATTATAGAATCTAGCACAATTATAACCAATTTTTCCATCCTGTGCGGAGCAAATTTCGGTAAAATCGACCAAACTAATCCAATCAAATTGGTTTAGTTAAATTCGATTTAGTCTTTTATATATACTCGGTTCGAGTTTAATTTTTAAAAGAGAACCAAAAATTTTTTCGATTTTGGTTTTTGTTTAACCATAAAAAATAAGTTCAAATCTATCCAAAATAGAATTTAGCCAAATTAGTTCGGTTAAATTTGATCCTATGCATTACCAATTTCAGTTTTGTTCACATATTAAAAAGATTTTGGTTTATTGTTGAAAGTATTAGTTAGAGTGATAAACAACTTCAATTCCCGCAAGATTGAGAACTTAAATTCAATCTTTGAGGGCTCTACAATCCGAGAAAAATTACACATTTTGATTATACAAACAACATAAACACCTCTTGAGCATTGGTTCAGTTTAGTTTATATAAAATCGACTAAATACTTACCCCTAATTCTCTAGAGTTAATAAGACATAAACACAAACAATAATCAAAAACATTTAATATGGATGGATGAGCCGAAATGTAAAAGAAAAAAACTTTTATTAACCACATCTACCAAATGAACATCTAGTTGAACATTTTAGTTTTTAATCCTCCCTTCATTGTTGAGAAGACCAGTCTCAGACAGGATTCATAAATGAGATAACAAAAACAAGATTTCTTAACATCCAAATCATATTTAAACTGGGAAAACAACTGACTCCAGTCGCAACAATGACATCTGAAGGAGAAAAAAGAAAGAACAATCTCAAGAATTAAGTGGTCAGCCACTCTTTTTTGATATCAAATGTGTAGTTGATCTCCAGGTAGCACTTGTTGTCATCATCAACAAACTGAAAAGGGAGAGAAAGAAAGCACATGAAACACAACAGAATTAGTAGCGGTACTAATGCAAGCCTGTAATAATTGTTTGTTCAAAGAGAGAAATGGCCCCCCGACAAATTCGAATCACATATATGAAAAGATGGAAAAGAAAAAGAAAAAAGATATCAGATTATAATATTTGGTTAGATGAATCAGGAGAGCACATGAAACTAAATGAAAGTAAGAAATTGAAGTTCATATCAAAATGCTTTCTTTATGAGCTCGAAATATGATGCTATAGTACTCATGTCATTTCATATCGAACAAGTAGATAACCGTTTAAGCCTGTTAAGCAGCTTGACATAATCTGAAAACATCAAAAACTGGTTGAACTTACCTTACTTTTAGCTGTGTATGATCCTCTAGCAAACATACCAGATGGAGTAGTATCCTCAGCCATCTCATGTGTGTAAGTCTCTGCCTGAGGACTAAAAGTTCCGAGCATTTCCTTGGTGCTATCCACTGTAAGCATAATCATACAAAAGTAGAATATGAGGTTAGGATGCTTTTTAAATTTTAACAAACTGCTTTTGGAAAAGCTAGATTTTTCCAGCTGTTCCAAAACCATGGTCTACCAAAAGCAATTCAGAAAACAGAAAAGCAATAATTCAAAATGCAGGTTTGATGAAATTGATCTCAAAACTGAACAGTAAAGCTAAAGTGGGATATGATGCAGGGAGAGAATGCGGAGATTTTACCCTTGACACCAGTTTTCCAAACTGTGTTGGTGTACTTGAGGCCAGACACAATGTTGTTTCCAACCTTAAAAGTGAATTGCAGGCTATATCGGCTGCCTTCTTTTAAGGTGAACCATACGCCTTTCGGAGTTCCATTCTCAGGCACAGAAAGAACAATATCAGGTCTACCAGGGGATTTGATGGCAAGGCTCAGGATCTTAACTTCAGGATCTAGAGTTTCTATATAGTCACAAGACATTAACAAAATATCAGAGATACAAAGAATTCTGCAATGTGATATCTAAAAGAATCCAAAAGGAAAAAACAGGAAATTTTACTTAACTACAAATTTCAATTGATGCAATGCATATGGAAAATGGATAGTACATAATAGTACAAAGGAGAACAGATTAAAGTGCTAGAAATTGTGGTTTGACAAAAATATGAATGAACTATTTAATTTCTAAGCTTTCACCAATTTCATTTTGTTCTTTTCCCAAGTAAACAGAGTTCTAAATGTGCAAAAGGATACTAAAGGACATCATGAACAAAAAATTGCCAGAAATTAAACTCTCTTAGAGATTTTCCTCATTCACAGAGTTTGATTGCAATCAATTTACATTGGAAAAAGAAAAATCTAAGCAAATTAAGCACAAATATCCAAAATCATAAGATTACAAAGCTAAAACAGATTGGATTCATTACCTCCAACAGCATTAAAATCCACACTTCCAAGAAGCTGTTCCTTCCACCTCCTCAAGCTCTCATCATCCTACGTTCTCAAACACCAAAAAACAGGAAATGACAATGAATACCCCATAAAAGAAAATAGAGAAGATGGAGCTGAGAATAAAATAATTTACTGAGATAAAAATTGAAAGCACTAATAATCAGAAGGATTAATTAAAAAAAAAAAAAAAAAGGAAATTTTTTTATAAAATGAGAATAAAATAATTTAGCTAGCAGAATAAAAATTGAAAGCCACTAATAATCAAGAAGGATTAATTAAAAAAAAAATAAAAAAAGGAAACTTTATTAAAAAAAAAAAAAAAAAGGAAACTTTTTTATAAAACTTACAATAATATTCAAAATCTTCCAACAAAATAGATTATTTTACTCTAATTTTGAAAATTAATTATAATTCTACCCAAATAAGAAAGAAAGATTGAATTAGAGAAGATGGAATAAAAGAAAAAACTAAGAAAAAAGATTTATAAAACAATAAATAATGAGAGAAAGAAAACAATTACCTTATCTTTTTCAAGTTGTTCTTTGAGACTGCACTGAGGACCCAACTCAATCTTCCTGTCCTCATCATCTTCTTCCTCCTGATCAGTTGCATAAATAGTGGTTTCACTCATGTTTCTATTCATGCCAGTTTTAGATTCATCAACTGGAACTTCTTCCCCACCTGCAGGTGCTTCCTCTGTTGTTTTCGTTTCTGAAACTTCCTCATTGCCTTTCTCATCCAAACCCATGATTTTCGAATTTGATTCCACACCAACAGCCAAGGACATCAAAATCCCATACAAAACACCGTATATGTTTATATATATCCCACTCAATAACGGTAACTAACAACTCTTTGAGATAACAAAAGGAAATAAAAACCCAAAAAAAGGCAAAAAGAAAGAAGCCAAAATCCAAAAACCAATAAATATGAGAAAACCCAGATATATATAATATTAAATTAGGAAAAAAAAAAGAGTCAAAGAATCTTAGAGAGGTGAATAGAAGACAAAACCAAGAAAAACCCACAAAGGAACACCCTTCAAAGAAGAAAAGACACTAAGAAAAAGGGCACACTCATAGATAGAGAGGGAGAATAGAAAAGAAAGAGAAAATGGGGTTTGTTTGTTTTGGAAAGTTCAAACACAGAAAAAATGGAAATGGTCCTGTGGTGATCCGAAACTATGCATCAACAACAATGTTTTAGAGATAAAGAGAGATAGGTGGCGAGATCGTGAAGGCCACTCCTGCAGTAGAATCCACCGTGACCTTGATTCGAGGAAGGATTTTTCATATATTAATTAATAATTAATATTAGAGAGAGATTATATCAGAGACAGACAGCCTAGTTTTGACCATTTCTTGTGGTTACTATGATTGGCAAATCGAATAAAAAGCTGCTAATGAGGATTCGTCGTTGCAGACTTGTAGTACTACAGTTCTTGAATGTTTACTTCTAAGTTCTAACTGCCTGTCTTGATTTTCTACTTTCTTGTTTTAACATCATATTTTGCTTTCTTGTTTTTAATTTTTTTAATTATTTTTAATATAAATAAATCTTAAATAGAAATCTTAATTTCTAAATTAAGCATTGGAGCATAGGCTATTTCCTTTGCATAGTCACTTACCAGCTGGAATAATATACAGTGTATCAACTTTTAATGATATGATGAACACTAGTATATATTCTTCTTTTTTTTTTTTTTTTTGATATGATGAAACACTAGTATAATATTCTTCCTATTTTTTTTTTTTTTTTTTGAGAACATCTAAGTATATATCTTCATATTTTGGTTTTTTTTTTTTTTTTTTTGAAGAATGCATATTTTGTATATTAATACTTTAATTTGTGCCACGGATATATATGTGTTGTTTGGCATTATTTGTTTTAGAAAATATTTTTTCATTTTTTTTTTTTTTTTTTTTGAGAATGCATATTTTGTATATTTAATACTTTAATTTGTGCCACGGATATATAGTGTTTTGCATTATTTGTTTTAGAAAATATTTTTTCATATTGCATTTTGTTTTATTGTACTTCTGGAATTTTGAATAAATTGAAATATGAATTTGATTTCTTATACTAGTAAGTATAAATTGAGGAAATTGATTATAAAACTTTATTCGCGATGACATTTAGCTAACTAATAGAACAGTTTGATAGTAAGACAACTAATATTACCTCTTAATCTACAAAAATTTAGGGTTAGATAGACATAAAAAAAATTGTTGTTGACTGTCTCATGGGATTAGTCATTTTGAGTTGCAGATGGGATAAGGTACTATTTGAGTTGTGTTTTGAAAATGATTTCAATTTAATTTGTAAGTTTCATATTGGATGAGATATCAAGTCTGTTTAGTAATATTAACTACTAGTTGATTATTAGGTATTAGGTATTAGCACTTTATATAAAAGTGAAAGTATTCTGTAAAATTAGGTGTTTGATTAGCTGCTGTTATAAATTTAAAATGATATAAAGGTAAATGGAAAATTTTAAATAAAGATTGTTAATTTGGAAAAAGAAGTAATGAATATAAATGTTAAAAAAAAATACCCATTAATTATTGTGGCCCACCAAACGTTAAATGGGCTAACGTGTTTCCTTAAACGCTACCTTAATTTTTAGAAACTTTTAGTTTTAGCATTTTTACTAGAGCCCATTCATCGACAGCTTTTAGCTAGCGTTCAGTGTTTTGATAAAGTCAAAACTCTACGTCAATTAATTGTATGTTCAATAATGTAGTATTTATAATAGATTTTCGAAGTTTGAAGGAGTTTTTTTTTATCAAGCGTTAAGCACTCCAATATTTAGCGTTTCATAAAAATTAATTAATTTTTTTTGACAATTATATTCATTTTTTTCTCAAATCTAGCTAATTAAAAAGTTAATATCTTTTTTTTGTCATTTTACGTTAAACAACTAATATATTTTTATCGAATACTATAAATAGTTGTCGGTTAAAAAGAACAGCTACCAACTATTACGATAGCTAACAAATACTAAAATAGCTAATATTGCAAATTGGTTGTAAGTTAAACACTACTTTAAAAATGATTATAGCATGGAGCTCACATGAAATTGGAATTTTATACAAGATGAAATAATTTGAAGTTTCTGAACAAGTTTTATATTTTTTATGAACTTATATTGTTTTTTTAAAAGGAAAACACAAATAATTGCTCATTCGATGTCTCACATCCATCCAGTAGCATCCTTTTATAAAATTGTAGTGATTTTGTAAATAGAATTAGTCACTTGAGTATTTATTCTATTCATTAGAATCCAACTATCAATCTCATTTAAGAAAAAGGAATGTCAGACCATTAATTTTAATATTCGTTAAAGAATTCATTGAACTAACAAAATAAAATCATGGTTAATGGTTGAATTGAATATATATATATATATATATATACTATCCGATATTTGAAGTCCACCCGCTCGAATAATTCAAATTCACATCGGACAGATCCATGAAGGGTAAAAAATTCCTTCTGAATATTTAAAGGGACTCCATACCGAGAACTCAAACTCGATTTCTCTAATTAAAAAAAAAAGAGATCTCCCATCTCAACCCTCGAGCTAATTAAAAATTAATATTTTAATTGCCACCTATGTACCATTAAACACATTTTAAAAACGTGTTACATTTTTCAAAACTTTTTACACCATAAAGCAACACCTTACACTTATTAATATGTTGCAATTGCTCCTTAGAATCAAATTAAGATTATAATTTTGATTAAAAAAAAACACTCCTTTCATCCTAAATTGATAGGCACACTTTCTATTTCACAAGAATTAATAAAAATTAATTGTTTTAGTTAGAAATGTAAATTTACTATATTTTCCTATTATACCCCTACTTTAATATGAAATATACTCATTAATCTATTATTGACTTTCACATCAATCAAGATTAATTATCTAACTAGGCTAACATGCATTGAAAATTGCTGAACTTAGAAAATACTAATATTTATAAATTTTCAAACTGATTGCTAATAAGCAATGGCATTGGAGAACAAAGAGTAATTGATAAAAATAAGCAATTTTTTTAACGAGCATATCAAATATGAAGACAATAGAGATTCAACATATTAATTAATTTATTAAAATAATAAATGGGTGATAATTTAGGAAAAACGAAAAAGAGAAAGTGCGTATATCGATTGAATACGGATGAAGTACAAAATTTAACTCCATAAGTCAAAACAAACCAATTTAAATTAAAAAGAAAACAATTGTTATATTGCATGATTTTGGAACCGAACCAATCTTAAGATGCAAAAGCAATGAACTTAATGCTAATTGATAATTGATAATTAAACTTAGACCAAAACAATATCATGAATTAGGTTAATGAGACATTAGTTAGGGTTAGCACTTGTTTAATTTGATTCAAATCAAATTAGTGTAAAACAAATAAATCGAATTTTTATAAAGGAAATCAAGCATATTAAATTGTGAATATAGCAAACTAAACTAATTTAATTCAATGTTTCGATTTTGTTTTATTTTTGAAGTAAATAAGTTTGATTTTTGAAGTTATTATAAAAAAAATAATTAAATCAAAAGAATTAAACAACCAAATCGAATTTTTAAGAATTGAACAGAACCTATCTGTTTGATTCGATTTTACTAAGAAGTGCTTAACCCCCATATTTAGTTCCTGCCTACGTGGAGATTGAATTTTATTTGTAATTTCTGCTTTCATATGTTTAATCAGCTTTATTGCATATAAAAATTATTTTTCAAAAAATATATTTTTATTAGCTAAAAACACCCAACAATTCAAAGAACAACCGAATACAAATTAAAATTAATGGTAATATTTTGATTAGTAGATCAACAAAATGGGGGAAGAAAATAGGCTGTCACAAGTTATTATAAAATCCAACATGTTTTATAAATAATTTATATAGGCCAAAGGGCCCAGAGATGATTTCTTTAGATTCGTTTGGTGATGCTCAAGCATAATGTGCATAATAATTTATTAGTTATAATTCATGGGTCAATTATATTTCTTGCACTTAATATTCCATAGAGAAATTATTAATGCAAGAATCATGGGTCAAGTTTTTTCTTCTATGCGTCTGTATATTTTGGTAGTTGTTAGTTATTTTAGTGACATTTACCTGTTAACTGTTTAAATAGCTTTTTATAAAATATTGTATGAGTTATCTTTTCATATATCGTCCTTATAAAATATAAGATATTCTAAAATAATATTAGTCATATCCAATTAAAAAATTTTAACATAAAAATATATATAATATCTCTATAATTTGATTGGATTTTTTTAAACTTTTTTAATAGATAAATACATATGACATTTACCTGTTTAACTGTTTAAATAGCTTTTATAAAAATTATTGTATGAGTTTATCTTTTCATATATCGTCCTTATAAAATATAAGATATTCTAAAATAATATTAGTCATATTCCAAATTAAAAAATTTTAACAAAAAATATATTAATATCTCTTATAAATTTTGATTGGATTTTTTAAAACTTTTTTAATAGATAATACAATATAGATAATTAAGCTTTTGAAAATTTAAAATTTTATTATTATCTTATTATGTCTTAAATTATGTTTTTATTTCATTATATTTATTTATATTAAATTATTATAATTAATTTTATTCTTAATTATTATTTAATAAAATATTTATAATTGCTATTATTGTAAATTATATCTTCAATTCTCATTATTTTAATGAATATGTGTAAAACGATATGCATTTGAAAATTTAATATTTTTAATTATTTATTTTATTATATATCATATTATATTAATGATTGTGTGTGTAAAAGAAGAGTGGGATTATGTGGTGTTTATATATTTTCTTAATTACAATACTGCACTCTTAATTTGGTTGGTAATAAAAAATAATAGATATAAAAAATATTATTTTTTTATATAATCTACTATTTTGAATTTTGATTAATTAATTTATACCTTTATTCAAGTCAATATGTTTTATTCGCTTTTCTACGTAAAGGTAGTGATAATATATATATAAATTAAATTATTTTTAAATGATTTTCACTTAGATTGTGATGGAATAAAATAATGAAAAAGAATGAGTGTGAGTTGATGGATATTATAACCCTCACTGAATATGTGTAAATACGAGGCATTTGAAAATTTTTATTTTTTAATTTATTTTATATAAATATATCTAGATAATTAAGATTTTAATTTAAAAAGGGATATGGTTAAATTTCTTTAATTACAAACTGCACTCTAATTTGGTTGGTAAAAAAATAAGATAAAAAATTATTATTTTTAAACATATTGAATTTGATTAATTATATTTATACCTTATTCAATTCAAATTTTATTCTTTCTACTAAGGTATATAATTTTATTAATAAATATTTTAAATGATTTCATGATTTTGATGGAATAAAAAAATAAAAAAAATTATTATTATTTATAAATATTTAACTTAATTTATTAG